GCGGCCCTCGGGCTGAAAAGTTTGGAGACCCCTGATCTAGATACATGGGTCTCAGCTTTAAGTGCACAGGATCCAGGGATCACACCCTTTGTACTATATACAAGGGTCCCAGCCTTTAGTGCACTATATACAAGGGTCCCAGCCTTTAGTGCACTATATACAAGGATCGCAGCCTTTAGTGCACTATACACAAGGATCCCAGCCTTTAGTGTGCGATATACAAGGGTCCCATACACACCGACCAAGCACAAAAACACTCGTGGAATGCAAGAGCGGGGGTCAAAAGGTCACAGTAAGACAGGCGTGCTGTGCTCCGTTCAATGGGTCATCATGTGACCTCTGACACCACATACCTCTCCTACCCCCAACACAAGCCGCCCCCACACAACCCTCCCCTCAACACAGGTAACTGAATGGTATAAGTCAGCCACCCCATCCTAAAAATACAGGTGACCAGTTGATACAAATCTGCCCCACACACGTTTCCTTTAGCCAACCCCCTAGTGTATGTACCGGACCCCCGTGCTTTCGTTTGTACGGGTGTAGGGTAAGGGAGTGGGGGTCATCTGTTAGATACATGGTGGGGGGGTCATTTGCATAGAGAATCAGGGGGTCATTTGTATAGGAAGTGGGGTTCATCAGCAGCTCTAGGAGTGGGGGCCATGTACCGCCCTACACAGCACATACTCCACAATTGCCGCCTGCACCCAGCGCGCCTAGGAAGCCCTGACCTCAATAGTTCCTTGAATGAAAAATTTCTAAGGCGAGGTTTCTCCAGCTGATAAAATTATGGGATATTTTTTTCTCGCTCCCACTCCCTCCCACTTCCTCTTTCCCCCCCCCCCCCCCCCCCCCCCCCCCCCCACCTTCCCTCCCTCGTAGTGCGGACACCAGTTGGGTTTATCCCGTTCCCTGCCCTGAAACTAGGTCACAGTTTGAGGCAGGCAGGCCAGGCTGCTCGGCAACTTATCAATGAAATGTACAGAGTTGTCCGTTTGGGCAAAGATCGCTAGTTGTCCGTTTGGGGAAAAATCGCTAGTTGTCCGTGTGTTTTGTATTGGTTTTGACTAAAAGTATATTTGGTCTTTTTCCTATGTCAAGACTCGAGTGCTGGGTCTAATCGAGAAGTTAGCGCGCTACACCGCTCTACACCACACTACATGCTTGAGAACACCCCCCCCCCCTCTCTTCTCCACACATTGAATCTAGGTCACAGAGGTTGGGATTTTAAACTGCTTGTTCAGTTTCTCTTAATATGGGGGAAATCTACTCAATTCTTACTCGCTCAAAGTGTACCGATTAAGCTGGTATGTGTATGCGTTTAACTGATTTGTGTGAGGGTAAAATGTAGTGTGTGAGGGTTACATTGATATGTAAGCGTTAAATTGGACGTTTCACGTGTGTATTAACTCAGCCTGGCTGAGATAACCGAGGTTAAAAGCTTTTATTATGGCAATGCTTCGGCGATATGCAACATCTTAGCGACACCTTACGGCGATATACAACATCTTAGCGACACCTTACGGCGATATACAACATCTTAGCGACACCTTACGGCGATATACAACATCTTAGCGACACCTTACGGCGATATACAACATCTTAGCGACGCCTTACGGCGATATACAACATCTTAGCGACACCTTACGGCGATATACAACATCTTAGCGACACCTTATGAATGTCTACAACTCCAACTAATGTTACAACGACAACAAATTGTACAACAAATCCTGCAAATTGTAAAACAACTCCAATAAATTTTTAAACAACTTAGTAAATATTTAAAGCAACTGCAACAAATATTACAACTACAACAAATTATACAACAAATCCTGCAAATTTTAAAACCAATCCAGCAAATTTTAAAACAAGTCCAGCAAATTTTAAAACAACTCCAGTAAATTTTATAGCAACTTTTACAAATTTTACAACTCTAACAAATTTTACAACTCCAACAAATGTTAGAATGACAACAAATTGTACAAAAAAATCCTACAAATTTTACAACTCCAGCAAATGTTACAACAATTCCAGCAAATGTTACAACAATTCCAGCAAATGTTGCAACAATTCCAGCAAATGTTGCAACAATTCCAGCAAATGTTACAATTTTAAAACGACTCCAGTAAATTTTATAGCAACTTTTACAACTCTAACAAATTTTACAACTCCAACAAATGTTAGAATGACAACAAATGGTACAAAAAAATCCTACAAATTTTACAACTCCAGGAAATGTTACAACAATTCCAGCAAATGTTACAACAATTCCAGCATGTGTTACAACAATTCCAGCAAATGTTACAACAATTCCAGCAAATGTTGCAACAATTCCAGCAAATGTTACAACATTTCCAGCAAATGTTACAACAATTTTAAAACTACTCCAGTGAATTTTATAGCAACTTTTACAAATTTTACAACTCCAACAAATGTTGGAATGACAACAAATTGTACAAAAAAATCCTACAAGTTTTACAACTCCAGCAAATATTACAACAATTCCAGCAAATGTTGCAACAATTCCAGCAAATGTTACAACAATTCCAGCAAATGTTACAACAATTCCAGCAAATGTTTCAACAATTCCAACTAACTTCACGACTTCAACAAATTTTAGAAACATAATTAAGCTTATGTCGTTTGGTTCATCATTAGTAGACCCAATATCTGTCAAGCATCAGCATTCATCAACTCAAAAAATTATTAGTAGACCCAATATCTGAAAATAATTATTTTAGTTATTCAAATCAAGCAAAAACCAACCTTAGCTCTCCTGAAAATACAATGCTCTTGAAAAATGTATCCTGCGCAGTGTTTCTTCCAGACTTTTTTCTCGTGGGGAGGGGGGCTGACACTGGTAAAAGTATATATTTTTTATTTTAATTCCATTTCTTTCGGGGGGTGGGGGCGGTAGAAGTGATGTCTGGAAGAAGCACTGATCCCGCGTGTGTCGCCCCTCCATAAGTATCCATAATTCAACCGAAAGCCTATGTCGCCCCTCCATAAGTATCCATAATTCAACCGAAAGCCTATGTCGCCCCTCCATAAGTATCCATAATTCAACCGAAAGCCTATGTCGCCCCTCCATAAGTATCCATAATTCAACCGAAAGCCTATGTCGCCCCTCCATAAGTATCCATAATTCAACCGAAAGCCTATGTCGCCCCTCCATAAGTATCCATAATTCAACCGAAAGCCTATGTCGCCCCTCCATAAGTATCCATAATTCAACCGAAAGCCTATGTCGCCCCACCATAAGTATCCATAATTCAACCGAAAGCCTATGTCGCCCCTCCATAAGTATCCATAATTCAACCGAAAGCCTATGTCGCCCCTCCATAAGTATCCATAATTCAACCGAAAGCCTATGTCGCCCCACCATAAGTATCCATAATTCAACCGAAAGCCTATGTCGCCCCTCCATAAGTATCCATAATTCAACCGAAAGCCTATGTCGCCCCACCATAAGTATCCATAATTCAACCGAAAGCCTATGTCGCCCCTCCATAAGTATCCATAATTCAACCGAAAGCCTATGTCGCCCCTCCATAAGTATCCATAATTCAACCGAAAGCCTAAATTTCTGGAACATTACAGCCCAGAAACTAAGAAGAAAAAAACTCGTTAGACTAGGTTGTTCAGCAACATTAAATAATGCTCATATACTCTTGTCATGTTTCCCCAGCCGAAATTATAAATAAATATCACCGTCTTGTAAATATGTACCAAACATATTGGAGGGGGCGGGTGACCTACTCGTTGCTCGATAACTGGTTAGCGCCGACTAAAAGTGGATGGTTGAAGTTTCATCGATTGAATGCAGCAATGATAGTTCAACTTGTATCACGCACCCACGAGGGAATGCTGTGACCAGGTACTGTTTGCAAAATGGACATTTTTTGTTTACGTCAGTCAGTCAGGGAGTCCACCATCATAACCAATATATGCAAGTATCCATGTACATAAACATGTACTCAGAAGAAATACGTGCACCGTTTCAAAATGTTGTACACATAAAGAATGCTAGTCATTCACCAGACGCTGACACTCATCAACTATCATAGCACCCACGTTACCCTCATCTTCCCTCCAATATGTTGATTGCCACACAACCCCTCCCCCCCCCCCCCACTCAAAGTCCGACCCAACCTACAAAAAAAACACACCAATATGCCTGACACTCCACACCCCCCGAATCTAAGCTATAAAGCTCTTACCACCATTCTTCCCCCCCCCCCCCCCCTCCCCGCAAGCAGCGATGAAGATGGCGACAAAAAAAAGACAAAAGTCTGGATGCGGGGCTAGACTGTCGTCTGCTAGCAGGGTGGGTCGCCACCCACGGACTGGCGACATGCAAACTCTGAGCCCGCTCGAGAATAGGTTACTGCCGACAGATCGGCCCAAACAAATGTCTGCACATGGAAAACTCACCCAAAATTTTTGTAAAACACCAAAAAAGCAATGGGCCCAAAATATTTGTGACATGCCATTTAAAAAAAAATATCAGGGGCCCAAAAAATTAGCGGACCCAAAATATTGGTAAAACACCAAAAAAAAAAAGTAATGGATTAAAAATATTTGTGACATGCCATTAACAAAATATCAGGTGTCCCAAAAAAATGAGCGAACCCAAAATACTCGATACAAAACATTCAGACAGGATAAAATATTTTTTTAAAAATTGTAACGAATTATTTGATCAGATGCTGTAACTTTATATGACGACAACCCAGCAATTAACCTAGAGATCTATGTGATGGAGGAACGATGCCATTTCAACTAGAATCGAGAACCATTGTGAAGGTTTACATTTCGATGACAAATTTAAATTATAATTTAAAATAGATTAGTATGAGATTCTAGGAATTTCATTGCATTTGTCATGGCCAAGTGCACGACAAGGAAAAAAATGTTCATGATTCGATTTGTTATCTAAAAACTGTCAAAGAGAGAAGAAGAAGAAAAAAAGCCCAATAAAGTAAAGCGTTCCTTACCTGTGGCCATTCCTTGAGTGGCCGCAGTCCGCGATATCCTGTGGTCAGCGCATGCGAGGCTAGCAGTACACGTGCTCAGCCAAGCTACTACTGCATGGATCGAGTCAAATCCGCGAACAACACACCAACACAATGGAGCATCAGCACACTCAACAAGTAGGGAAGACGGCTCTGTTGTGTGCTAGCGGCTCCACGACACTCCACCAATCCGCACAACTGACTTGAATGGAAGGAACGCGAGACACCTAGCCACTATTGTTTTCAGATACAACTTCGATAAAGCAGTTTCTTTTTTACTCAATTATTTTGAGCATCTTGTTCTAATAATAGCAAAGAGTCCCATGATTTGTGTCAAGATGGCCACCAATACCAAGGCCTGCTGGTGGCCCTCGCTGGGTGGGGAGAGTTGGCCAACACCTGACTCGGGTGCTGCACTACCCAAACGCCGCGCTGTGGCGCCTAAATTGGAACAACGGACAACTAAACAATAATCACTCAATCCCTCCTGGCTGACTTTTTAACCCTCCACGCTCTCTCCGTGGCTCGGGGAAGGCGAGAGGGAGCGAGCTACGGTCGAGGGAAAAAATCTTTTTTGACCTATTTTTTTTTCTACTGTAGAACAATAGAGGGGGAGGGAACACGCGTTTTCTGCTTTCGTTGACCTCATTTTTAAAACCGTGGATAAAAAAAGATCCCTTTGACAGGTACACTACGGGAAACAAAATGCGCAATTTCTTTTCGCCTACCGACGCAAGAGGCGGCGCTTGGCGGTGGGCGGGGCGGCGAGAGCGCGTGGTGTGGTTGGTCCGCCGCAGTACAGCGCGTCGTGCCTGCCTGCGCCAGGCCATGACCGAATTACACGCACACAGCCCAAGGCCGTGGTGCTACATGTTAGCCCCGAGATTTCCCTCCTTTAGACAACTGCAGCAGGTCGCTGGCTCTCGCTCATTCTGGGGATGTTGTGTGACCTACACCATCCTGACATTGTCGACACAATTCTGGGGGATAATGCAGCTAGAAGTCCGTAAGGAACGTACCAGAACACAAAACGTCGACCCACACTAAACAGAGAACTATAGAGACCCCCTTAATTGACCCACACTATACCTTGAAGAACTAGAGCGATTAAGCGAGCCCATATTTTCGTCCCAACTTTACCGAGACGTAGGCCTATAGAGGTTCCCCAAGGCGCCCAATACGAACCATCAATTTATAATTGGCATTCAGAGACGACCAATGTACGGGCTACAGTGGCGTGTCCAGGGCTTTGTCCAAACAGCCCACCCCAGCTTCTCATGGCAGTGTCGTAGACTCAGGCTATCAGGGGTTCACACACCAAACAGCCCACCCCAGCTTCTCATGGCAGTGTCGTAGACTCAGGCTATCAGGGGTTCCCACACCAAACAGCCCACCCCAGCTTCTCATGGCAGTGTCGTAGACTCAGGCTATCAGGGGTTCCCACACCAAACAGCCCACCCCAGCTTCTCATGGCAGTGTCGTAGACTCAGGCTATCAGGGGTTAACCCCCACACCAAACAGCCCACCCCAGCTTCTCATGGCAGTGTCGTAGACTCAGGTTATCAGGGGTTAACCACCACACCATTTCAAATCTAAAAAGCAAAACAGCCAACCAATGTACTTCATAAAATCCATTTCGGGATTTCTAAAGTGGTGACACGGGGGGGGGGGGGGGGGGGGGAACAGGGGGAAGTGCGGACCTTACTGTGAGACACAAGAAAATATTCAGTGTCAACAAATCGCAAGACAAATCGCAGTCAGAATGTGCAAGAGATGGCAGCGTACCAAAACTGCAGGCAAGGAAACACGAAGAAATTGCATACCTAACTACAACCCTCTCAGAGGCGTAGCGAGGCAGTGGGTGTGGACCGCACCTGGTGACACCAAGGCAAAAAAAAAAAAACTAGCAATATATATATAGAAAAATGATTATTCCAGTTAACCAAAGTTGACAAATCCCGACAAGGTTGGGGGGGGGGGGGGGGTGACACCGTGACGTAAACCTGTTAACGATTGAGAAAACAATTCTATATCCAGCTGTATTTATAACCAACTATAGATAAACATTGTTAGAATTATCTGTGCACAGTTAACAAAGCTATCGCTGGGTGGGGGGGGGGGGGGAAGTGTGTGACAACAACGTTCCAAAATTTGCCTGAGCTAAAAGGTTTTGTCGAGAATTCACCAAATTCAACAATTTACTGCAAAAACAATGATTTTTCCACTGGAATTAATAAATGTTGGAGTTAGGCCCTAAATGCATTTTCTAGGTTGATTATACTTATACTTATACTGTTCGCACAAAATTGACGCTAATCGACAAAAAATTACAGGGGTGGGGGTGACACCGTTCACCGAATTGGAGTGAAACAACAATAATTGTAGGTCTTCCCTTAATTTTTGTGGTAATTTTCATTTAATTAATACAAAATTAATTAAGCATCCCATAAAGCCAAATTCAATGTCCGATTTTATTATCGCCCTATCTTAACCCACGTGCCAAGTTTGAAACCAATCGGTCAGTTACAAGTGCTCGATATTTCCCACGGCAGTTTCGTTCTATGAAGACAGACATAGGAATCAAGTTAAATAAAAGCATGTAAAAATGCTAGAAATTTCCCGGTTATATACTTATAATACATATACGGTTATATATATATATATCGTATATACTAATAGTTTCGCTGTCGGTCTGTCTATCTATCTGTGTATCTATCTGACAAGAACGCTATAGAGAAAACACAAGCAAAATAAAAACTTTCATACGAAACGAAAAATGACGTCACGTTGAGAATATAGTAGAAAATAGTATCAAGCCGGAGAGTGCACACAATAATATGACGTCATTGATTCTCGAGTAAACATTGAATTAAAAAGCCAATTTTGTCTCATCTCAAAAGTGGTTTGCCTGCAGAGTTTCTTTCATGCAATTGTTTGGTTAGAGGCGAAGCCCCAGCCCCCCCCCCCCCCAAAAAAAAGAACGTTTAAGCCGCCCCCTCCCCCGCCCCAAAGAAAAGAAATGACGTCATCGATACTCTATAATAAAAAACACAGACATTACGGTCTAATTAATGTGTCTAATCTTTAAAGTGTTTTGCGTGAAGAGTTTCTTTCATGCATCTCATCGGGTAGGGGCTAAGCCCCACTCCCGGTAGATCGTCTATGTCATCGATACTCTAAAATAAAATTACCGCCTAATTAATGGGTCTATTCTAAAAAGAGGTTTGCGTGCAGTTACTTTCATGCAATTTTTCGGGTGGGGCTCCGCGTTTTGCGTGTAAAGTTTCTTTCATGCAATTCTTCGAGTAGTGGCTAAGCGCAACACCAGTGTTTCTTTCAGACTTTTTCCTCTCCGGAGCGGGGAACTTGAAATTTTCTAATCTAAAAAGTGTTTTGCGTGCAGTTTCTTTCATGCAGCTCTTCCAGGCTCTGCCTTTAGTTTGTATGATCAACAAATGCGACCAGTGTTTCTTTCAGACATTTTCCTCCCCATAGAGGGGTGGGGGTACTTGAAATTTTCGTGGGCGGGAGTGGAATTTTCTGGGAGGGGAAAAAAGTATATTCATATTTCGTTGAATGGGACGGTAGACATGTTTTGTAGTGTGTGGGGGGGGGGGGGGGCGGAGCCCCCTACTCCCAAGTAGAGTTGCCTGAAAAAACTCTAAATGCGACTTTTGTCGTGATTGAGATAAGGTGCATGGTTTAGAGGTATGGCTACGACTATATTTAGTATAAATGTGCGATAACTATGCGTAGATCATGCTTAAATCCGATTAAAATGCCGATTCTGGATAAAAATCAGTTTTCAATGTCATTTTTCGTTTCTGTTTAAATTAGAACTATAGGTGGTGATTTTGGTTTTGGTTTTAGTTTAGAGAAAATAGACAGAACTATCAACCTAGCGCCCGTTTTATCCCTTCTCAACGGGCCACTTTTCTCGTATATATACGTATGTATATTGTGTGTTTGTATGTGAGCGCGACAGTCCGGAAACAGTTTAATGATTATAATGTATGATTGTCGTACCCTAAAAAAGACTGCACGCCAATTAAATGCCCCTTAATTAAATGCCCCTTAATTAAGACACTTTATCCTTTAAAGAATGATTAGTAATGTCAGAAAAAGTAAACCTCATCTGAGGTGCTAATTCGTTTAGGGCAGTCTTTTTATGTTTTATCTTTTGAACAGTCTATGTTATGATATAGTACATAGTTGGATCATAAGTTTGTTAGATTAAGGTCATACAATTGACATACAATAGCAAAAGTATTGTTCACATTAGAAAACGATATGGGTATTTCATTTACTGTTTGATTGTATAAGGAAACAAGCTAGAGGAAACAAACTGGAATCCACTGGACTCAACAGCTCGAAGTCTTGGATTTCGCAGATTTGTGCTGCCTTCGCCCACACAGTCAACAACAAATGGAGAACAAATTGTACTGGTTGAAGAAACTGTAATAACTGTTATGATATTGGCACCGCCCATGACTTTCAGATTTGAATCAGCAGCGATAAAATTCGTATTAACATTCTAAGCCAAAGTGAAATTCAAATGGATTGTCAAAAAAATGTATCAATCAAGATCTATAACTAAATATGAAGTCTCTTTTACTGTGTGACTCTGGGGTAGGTTACAGAAAGAATGAAATAAGAGCATGAAAAAGTGGTGGTTAGGGCACAATATCAGAAAGACAGTAAATAACATCACTAAGCAGATGCTGGTGCCAAGTCCACGGGGAAGGAGGAAGAGAAGGAGACCAGAAATAGAGAAGGGGGGGGGGGGTGGCTTGCTGGATTATTAGGGTTCGATCTTCATAAAAATCAAGTGAGTTGACGAAGTGTTGCCTACGACTACGCTCCTTAGGAAACCGAAACCAATTAAAGAAGAAAATAGAAAGAGTTTAGAACAGTGCATCGAACCCAATAGGTTCGGTAATTCAGTCTCGGGTGTTCGGCGTAGGTCAAGACACACACCCGACTCATAGGATTCCAGGATTTTGTCGATACAACTATTAAGAAGGGTTTGGTGAATATGAAACTGGTGGGGTTTGTTACTTCCAAAAAGTTAAGAACCATTGCCTTAGGTCTTAGATTGTACTTCGTAGAAAGTGCAAGCTTATTTGGTCTACTTTTGGTCATGTCTTTAGTACAATTTTGATAATAGTATATTACAATTTTAAAATATCAGTTAGGTTGAACAAAATTTTATATTAAAAAAGCAATCTAAAATTATCAGTGGATTTGTTACTTTCTCGTATATACGAAGTATAGAGAAAGTCTTGTAATCGTGCAAAAAAAAAAAAATCGAGATTTTTGCAAATCTCGACGTTTTACATCTCACTGATACGGAAAAACATAATTTTGCAATCTTGTCCGTATGTCTGTGTGTCTGTGTGTGTGTGTGTGTGTGTGTGTGTG